AGCAGGAATTGAACATTATTGAACATAACTTCTCGGCCTCTTGAAGGCTCAGATCAAGTATAGTTTGTCAGCCCCTTTATGAAATTACTTTGGTGCCTGCCATTTCCACACCCATAAATTTGTGGTGTCTCCTGCTCTTGAAATTTTATCATGAGTTTAGTGTTGTTTCTGTTACAGCCCTAGTTCTTGGAGATCAGCAACTGCGTGAAAGTTATTTAATTGGGGCAGAGGGGAGTAAATTCCAGTTTTCAAGGTTACAGAAAGAAATGTGACAACCATGATCAGAGTGTACTCTCAAAGTCAAAGTTCTACAGTAATAAAACAGAGACAGACTGCAATTATTTATTTAAATTGTAACAATCTAATTATATTGGGAGTGTAATGGTCATATCTATACTGGTGTAAAAAGTAAACTTTCTTCAAAGAACTTTGATTCCCTCCAGCATCTTTTTAAATGTTACTGTTTTGCCACTTGTCAATGACAACTCTGGGAACAGCATCAAGATTCCTGAGAGAGGGCTGTAAATTGCACAGATGTAGGGAGACCACTAGGTGGTGCTCCTTTTGCCATTTATTCAGCCTCTTGCTATGGAAAAGACTAGTGAATCTTAATGGACAGTTGCATTTTTGCTATTTAAACTTGTAGCTAACAAATAGTAAATGACTAATGTGTTTCTGTAGGAAGATATGAATAACCACAAGATACTGTGCATTGGTTTTATTTACTTCGCAGATAGATTAATTGATTTAAAATAGATTTACATTGCATAATCCAGAACAATCTACATACACCTGAGCTAGTTAACTTAGAAACAGCCAACTGTAAATGAGCCAGGTCAGGCTTTGGAAATAACCTGAAATTCCAGACAGGTTAATTTATACTGCTGAGAAGCCTAGATTGTTTCCAGTATACATGCTAGCTAGTTTAGTTATGTAGGGCGCAGCATATACACAACCTCAGGCAAGATATTAACTGGCCATGGCTTCATGTGATACTTGAACCAAATATGATTAGAAGTTCAAATAAGGCTGAATTGCCATTTTCCAAATGGGTTATAATTCTGCGTGCTTTGGCAATTCATAATTCTATATGGTAGTAAGAAGTGCAAAATATCATGCAGAAATCATAGAATCATAGAAAATTAGGATTAAAAGGGACCTCAGGGGTCATCTAGTCCAACCTGCTGCCCAAAGCAGGACCATCCCCAACTAGATCATCCCAGCCAAAGCTTGTTTAGCCAGGTCTTAAAAACCTTCAAGGATGGAGATTCCACAACCTCACTGGGTAACCTGTTCCAGCGTTTTACTATACTCCCAGTGAGAAAGTTTTTTCTAATATCTAACCTAAACTTCCCTTGCTGCAACTTCAGACCATTGCTCCTTGTTCTGTCATTTGCCACCACTGAGAACAGTCTAGATCCATCCTCTCTGTTAGCACCCTTCAGAAAGTTGAAGTCTGTTATTAAATCCATGCTCAGTTTTCTCTTCTCCAGGCTAAATACACCCAAGTCCCTTAGCCTTTCCTCATAAGTCATTTGTCCCAGTCTGGTAACCATTTTCATTGTCCTCCACTGAACTCTCCAATTTGTCCACATCCTTTCTGTAGTGAGACCCCCAAAACTGGACACAGTACTCCAGATGTACCCTCACCAGTGCCGAATAGAGGGGAATAATCACTTCCCTCAATTTGCTGGCAATGCTCCTATGCCCAGTTTGCTGTTAGACTTCTTTGCAACAAGGACACACTGAAGCCCCAGACTGACGAGTCTGGGAGGTAGGATACTTGCCAGTGGTAGTGCCACAGACAGACTTGAATGATTGAGCTTTGCTCAGTCGATAGAATTTGGAACTAATTTGGCCCTAACAAAAAGAGAAAAAAAAGAAGGAAAAAAACCGAAGGGCACACTGCTGGCTCATATTCAGTTTATTGCCCACTGTAACCTCCAGGTCTTTTCTGCAGGGCTGCTGCTTAGCTAGTCAGCCCCCAGCCTATACTGGTACATAGGATTATTCTGTTCTAAGTGCAGGGCTTTGCACTTGTCCTTGCTGAACTTCATGAGATTTCTTTTGGCCTAATCCTCCAATTTGTCTAGGTCTCTCTGAATCCTAGCCCTACCCTCCAGTATATCTGCTTCTCCCCCCAGCAGATTTGCTGAGGGAGCCCTCCATCCCCTCTTCCAGGTCATTGATGAAGATATTGAACAAAACCCAGGACTGACCCCTGGGACACTCCACTTGATACCAGCTGCCAGCTAGACATCAAGCCATTGATCACTACTCTTTGAGCCCAACAATACAGCCAGTTTTCTATCCACCATTAAAGTCCATTCATCCAACCCATACTTCCTTAACTTGTTTGCAAGAATGTTGTGGAAGATTTTTTCAAAAGTAGGGCTTTCAATTAATCACCATCAATGTGCACAATTAACAGAAGCACAAATTAATACTTTAACATGTTAAAAAAATTAATCATGCATGTTGTTTTGGAGCATTCAGGCTCCTCTCTGCCACCATCATATCCAAGCAGGGCAGCAGTGGCAGTGCAGAAGAGCCACAGGGCAGTGCGGGCTCTAGGCTGCTGCAGCAGGAAGGTGGCGGCACACACACACACACACACACACACAGAGTTTAGAGGTGCACTGATATATTGGTACCATATTGGGATGTCGCATACAGGTGCACAGCCACAGCCAGGAATGCAGCCTGGTGGCCTGTAGCACAGTGCCCGTCAGCTAAGTCTGTGGAGGCGAAGTGGCAGGGGGAGAGGGAAAGGATGGGGGGTCAGATCGAGGCCCCTATGGTCAGGGAGGGAGTGGGGCAGGGGCTGCAGTGAATGGGACCCCAGGGCTGGGGTGGGTTGTGAGAGAGCTGCAGGAGGCTTGTCCGGGGGCATGGGGGGAAGGGGAGGGCAGCTCCCTGCCGCTGCGCACACCCCTAGGGGAGGCATGGGAGATATGTGCCCCCCCCAGATTTGTGCATGGGGCAGAGGTGGGTTGGGGCTCTACACCCTGTTGCTTTTGCTCTGGGAGCTGCACGCCGGCCACGCTGTGTCCCCTGCCTGCCCAGCAGCAGGAAGCACAACGTGATGTTGTGGCTCCCGCGACAAAGGCAGCAGGGCAGGAAGCCCTAGCCCACAGCAAGCAGCCTGCCTCTGCCCCACACACAAAACCAGGGGACACATGCCCCCCCCTTCTCTGTGGGTGTGCGCAGCAGTGGGGAGCTGCCCCCTGACCCCAGACATGCCTCCCATGGCTCTATCCCACGACCCACCCTGACCATGGGGTCCCATTCACCCTAGATCCTGTCCCTGTCCCTGCCACGCTCCCTCCCTCATTGTGGGGGCCTCGATCTGCCCCCTCGCCTCTTCCCCTTCCTCTCAACAGATTTACCTGCTAGGCACTGCTATACATGCTGTCAGGATGCATTCCTATAGGGGTACTGTATTTCCAGTTTCAAAAAAGAGGACACCTATAATGGGGGGTAGGGGGTTAATATAATTATGGGGGGACAGTGATATACCTATGCCCTGCCCCTGTCCCTCAGTCCCAAGCCACAGCCCCCCCCCAGCCTTGCTACCCCTTACTTCTGACCCACAGTACCTTGCATCCTGCCAGGGCATGTAGGGGTCTCCCCTCCCCAAGCTCCAGACCCCCCTGTGGGGACCCCCCCAGGCTTCAAACTCCCTACACATACCCACAGCCCCCCACACCTTCACAAATTCTTCCCCCACACACACTCCCCACACCTACTTCCCAACCATACAAAATACCTGCATAATTTTGAGTTTTTAGCTGTGATTAAAATGATTAATTGTGACTAATTTTTTTAATTGCGCAACTAATCACAATCATGTTTTTTAATAGTTTGACAACCTTAATCAAAAGCCTTGCTAAAATCAAGGTATATCACATCCTGCATCTACAAAATCAGTCATCTCATCATAGAGGGCATTCAGTTTGGTCAGGGACAACTTGCCCTTGGTGAATCCATGCTGACTGTTCCTACTAATCACCACCTTCTCCTCCAAGTGCTTAGAAATAGATTCCTTGAGGACCTGCTCCATGGTTTTTTCAGGAATTGAGGTAAGGCTGACCAGTTTTTTTTAAAGGTGGGCACTCTCTTTGCTCTTTTCCAATCTTCCAGGACCTCTCCTGATTGCCACCAATTTTCAAAGATACTGGCTAGCAGCCCTGCAATCACATCAGCCAACTCCTTCAACACCCTTAGGCGCATCGTGTTTGGCCCCATGGACTTACATACATCCAGCTTTTCTAAATAGTCCCTAACCTGTTCTTTTGCCACTGTTGGCTGCTCACTTCCTTGCCAGACTGTGCTGCCAGCTGCAGTAGTCTGGGAGCTGATCTTGCTTGTGAAGACAGAGGTAATAAAAAAAGCATTTTCTGCTCCAGCCTTTTCCACATCATCTGTCACTAGTTTCTCTCTCCTATTCAGTAAGGGACCCACACTTTCCCTGATCTTTCTCTTGTTGTTGACATACTTGTAGAAACCCTTGTTACCCTTCATGTTCCTTGCTAACTCCAACTGTGCTTTGGTCTTCCTGATTTCATCCATTTGCCCGAGCAACACTCTTATACTCTCCCTTAGTCATTTGTCCAAGTTTCTACTTCTTGTAAGCTCCCTTTTTGTGTTTTAGTTCATAGATTATATCCAGTTCAGTTATTCACACACAAGCAATAATACTGAAATAACTGTAGTATCTAGGTAGTAAATACAGTGATCAAGAAACACACAAAATAATTTGAATGGCTAATTTCTTTAATTTGACTATAAAAACCTGTTGTTTCTCTCACCCATGGCTTTCTTCCTTTTCCCCATCCCCCTTTCTTTCACATGTTCATTTTTCATTTCATTGTAAGTATTTCTCTGAGAAAAATTGTTTTGCTCTTGGACTGTTTTGCTCTTGGACTGAGGTTCACTTGACTACTTCTCATAGGAGGTGCCAGAGCTCATAATTTAGTGCAGGTTAGTACTACTTGTACAGATATTTATTCTTGCAAGAGCCACAATTCTCTTTGTTTCTGGTCTGGGGAAGCACAATAGTCTTTCTCCAGTGCTCCATTCTCTCCCCTTTTCCCCCTCAGCTGGTGATCCCAGTCTAGAGAAAGTACAGGGAACAGAGGAGAGAGGGTGGCTCCTGGCTGTACCTGTATTGTTTCCTTTCCTGTTAAGATTTCTTGTGGTGGGAATGTCTTTGCTAGAAATGACCATGTGTTCATACCCAGAGCCAACACCAAACCATTTTTTAAAACCATATTTAGTACTATTTTTCATGAGTTTTGCAGCCTCAACCTATGAAGAGTAGGCACTAACAGGGTAGTTTACAAAAATATGCTCTTGTCCCTGAGCAATCATCTTACTTTTTCCATTTTAAACATTTTTCCTAACGAAATAACAACTGGACACCATTAGGAGTATAACTTTTATTATAAGTATCCATGGCAAAATGATGCAATATTTTTTTTTCCTTGAAAACTGTGACATATCACTAAAGTCTTGATAAATGACAGACCAATTCTTTAATTTTTTGATCTTCATAATTCATCATAAAATTCTTTAAACTACTAAAAACAACTGAATTAACACAACCAACATCTTAGAGTTCTTACAAATAATAAGTCAACACAAGCATAAATATTGAAAAATTGGAGCGTTTAACATAAAATTTAAATATTCAAAGTAGTATTAAAGGGACACTGTCAAACTCTTACGGTTAAAATCTGACCATTTCTTTAAAAAACTGTCTGAGAGGGAAATCCTCCACATATTTTATATCTAGACTATTTGCTTAGTGTTCTATTTCTTGTAATATAAAAATAAGGACTTTCAGGCCCAAAGCATCACTTTCTACTCATTCTGGAGCAGCAGTTTACTAATAAAGTCCATTCTGAATCTGCTTTTATATTCTGAAGCTGTGTTTCTGGTTAGGTAAAAGTCCCATTAGCTTAGTTAGGAAGAACTTGACTGTTACTGATTGCAATATATGCTCATTGACTTTACTGGGCACTTTGCCTGTGTCAGGATTTGAGAATCCTGTAGCTCTGAAGTAGTTGATGCCAGGATACAAATTCTGACTTGAACAGTTTTGGACAGCTTTTCTTGGTAGCTACTGAATCACAAAGTTCACAAGTCTCCCATTCTAATAGAAGCAGTAACTTGTCCAGATAATTTAGAGCAAACTGTGGCAGCCACACTATTCTTCTTCAGGCATTCTGAATTTGCTGCTTCCCGCAATGGGTCTCAGACTGCCAATCGTTCCAACTTTTCAGAATATTTGGAGTGCAATGCAGTTATCAGTAATATCAGACCTGGAAGAAAAGCATGCTTTGTGGCCCTTTACCTAATGTCTCCCCCTACCTCCCAGGTTTTGCCTTTCTTTTCCTGCTCAAGGAAGGAACATATAGATCAAGTTAAATAGTTCTTCCTAGACTAAGCTACAAAACAAAATTATCAACCAAATGAAATAACTCCACCATAATCATATCAAAGTATTTGCATTGCCACAGAAAAAAAACCCAAGTCATGCTATAATAATTAACGTGCTCTGACTAGCCAAACATCTGTTTGATTTACCCTGCTCACATATCTATGCTGTATCACACATTTGTTTGTCTTTCAAGTACTGCTTTTGGTAAAGGATATATAAAATAAACACATTTGGTACAATGAGCCATAAAAGGAAGCAATGATTTACCTAAGATACTCAATATAGCACAATTCTTGGAGAACAATACTGGTTATTTGATAATTTGTTTCCAAGGAGGCTATTCTTTCTGCCAGAATTTATGTAAAATGAGAAGGTTATAGGTACTTTCTGAATAGAGCACAAAATACAATTTGTTATGAACAAAGAGAAAAACATCTCTTTATGAAAGGAATTCTCAAACAAAGCAGGTGAATTTCAACCCACTTATAGTGAATGAATGAAATTAGCTAAAATAGAAAAACAAAATTTAACAGAGTAGAGCCAATTATTTCAGGAGAGTAAGATTTATATGTAAAATTATCAGACAGTGTCCTTTCGAAGAAGATACATGTATATTAAATATAAATCTTTTAAGTAATTATGCACATATAAACTTTATTTAAACAATTTTTAAAATAGCACACATTTCAATTTTAATAAGCAACTAACAATATATTTTACCATTTTTCATCAATGCATTTTATCTGGGTCTGGAACAAGAGACTCAAATGCAATGCTCTTACTTTTCCAAAAAACAATAGATACCGAAGCATTCTAATAAACAAACAATCAACACTAAGTTACAGTCACTTTCACAGGTAAAACGTTAAACACACTGGATTACACATCCAGTACCTATAACAATGGAATGTTACAGTGCTCTTTTCAAAGAGAGCATTAAGAGTTTAAATACATTCCAGTCATTTAAAAATACTTCAACTACAATTCAACATGTAACCAAACACCACATGAAAGAAGTTGGGTTTCAGGCATGAATGAAAAACCTTTTGTTTTGGCATATCAGAATCATATAAAAAATAAAATATTTCAAACTGCAGTCAAATGGCATTCATAATAATCCATGTGCAAACATGCCCTGAAAAAATAGAAATAAAAGATGGTAGCTTTGGTAAAAACTACTAGTTTGTTAATTTTTTTTATAATAGAAATAAAGTAGGCAAAAATAAGACTATTTATGGCTCGTTCATTATCAGCATGACTTTTCTTTAATATTGCACACTGCTCATTTGTTGTCAATACTAACTTTCAAAAGCCATTTTGGTTTCAATAGTTTGTTAGATCAACAAAATGAACTGCTACTAAGAAGTGAGTCTAGAATTTGTTACACGAAGAGCTAAACTTGCAATGGATCTCATGGCACAGGTAGAAACCTTGTGACAAACTCCAGCTTTTTCAATGTAGTTGGAAGCTAAGCGATACAGCCTTTCTGCTCCAAATGTGTTAAAATGCCCTGGAAGCACCTTCTCTACAAGACCTCTGTCCACCAATTCTATAAGACGCTCACAGCTTGCAACATAGTCACTTATCCTGCTGTAGGGAAGCCAGTCAATCATTGATCCATCATATACAACATCTCCACTGAACAATATCTTCCGGTCTTGGTCATGTAAACAAATACTTCCTCTTGAATGACCCGGCATATGCATGACAGTGAGCTGTCGATCACCGAGGCTGATCACATCTCCTAAAATGTCAATATATTAAATAAAAAAAAAATATACATTTATTATTATATATAGCAAATCAGAACAAAAGTATATGACTTCTGCAAATGGTTATAAAGTCTAAACATGAAGAAACATAAGTAGAAAGAAAACTCTAAAATTCTTTTAGTTTCCTAAATTTGTTTTTTTTGGCTCTTTTTCAAACAGGTCTATCAAAATTTATCCTTATTTTAGTCCTTTCTAGATTTCAGAAATGATTTGGAGATCTGCAGTGACAGAACTTAAATCATCAAATGAAGCAAGAGTCCTTCCAAAATACACCCTTTGTAATACCTTGGTCCATAAGAAACAAAAATTAAAAGGAATTTGAAGTGGTAACTATTTTAGTTCGCATTCAAAGTAGGCTTTTCGAAACACTTGTTTCACTATCTCCATAACTGTGGAAGTATTTTAAGTGATATGGCCATTACACTAATAGAAGTTTAGACTGATGGAGAAAAATATTCAGCTACCATTACTTGTAAGTTGTATTTAGTTTATATTTCTGGTTACTTTAGGAAGATTTATAATCTTGAGGCCCAAAGCGTAGGGAAGAGGGAAGATGTGGTTCAAAACTACCTCTGCACAAGCAGCTGATCAGTGTATGACACCAGATAGTTTCAAAGAAAATTCCATCCCATCCTTCCTGGCCAAAATAAATGGATATTATAATACTACAGCCATGGTAATAACAATAGTGAAACTGATTTAAAATAAAGGGGGTGGCTAAAAACTTCAGAATCCATTTCAGAGAACTCCAAATAGGAGCGAAGAGTAACAAAACAAACTGAGCCCTGGTAACCAGCTGTTACTACAGCAGTTACAGGCTTGCTTTTCAAGAGAGTTGTGTGTCTACCACCCTTCTTGAAATCAGTGAACCTGAGCATACTCCCCCCTGCCACACCCCTACCCCCCCATAAAAAGTCAGATGCTAAAATAACTGTATTTTGTCATTTTATGTTGTAGCTGCTTGGGTTACAATTATTATGCTGCTATGCCAAGCCAAGTTTGGAGTTGTTACCAACTTCAGAGACTTTCTTGTTTTTAAACTTCAAACTTATCTGATTGTGTTGTGTGTGCATGCTTAGTACAGGGAAACAATCTGTTCTCTCAACTTTTACATCTTTGTATCAAGCAGTAAGTTTTAAAAATATTTGGGGGATGCTTGCCGAAAAGAAATGTTGTAATGGCTGAATTAATACAAGTATAACAGCCTTGAATACTGAGGAAATTATGCAGAGGATGCCTAGTGTGGTAAACCAGACAATAGCAGAAATTAAGAAAACTGGAGCTGCAAATCAAGCTTTCAAACTGCTCCAGAATCAAAGTAACGCTGTACTAAAAAGAAAATAAAAAGACAATCAACACATATATGCAAACACAAAAACAATGGCATACAGCCAGTATTCAAAGAGAAGGACATCACAGAATTCAGGAACAATCATCAAGAGAGATAAATGAAAGACAGCGCTGACAGCTTTACGAGCGCTTGTGGTGCTTGGGCCAGGTGCCAGATGATTGGAAGATAGCCAATGTGGTCCCCATCTTTAAAAAAGGGAGGAGGGAGGACCCGGGCAACTATAGGCCCGTCAGTCTTACCTCAATCCTGGGGAAACTCTTTGAAAAGATCATCAAGGAGCCCATCTGTGATGGGCCGGCATCGGGGATGATGTTCAAGGGCAACCAGCATGGTTCCATTAGGGGCAGGTCATGTCAGACCAGTGTGATTGCCTTTTACGATCAGGTCACAAAAGCGTTGGATGCAGGTGTCGCCGTGAATGTAGTCTTTCTGGACTTCAGCAAGGCCTTTGACACTGTTGACCACCTCATGCTCATTAAAAAACTAGGCGACTGTGGCATCGATGCCTACACAGTCAGATGGATTGCAAACTGGCTGAAGGGTTGTACTCAGAAGGTGGTGATGGATGGGTCATATTCGACCTGGGGGGGGAAGTGGGCAGCGGAGTCCCCCAGGGCTCGGTCCTTGGGCCCACACTGTTCAATTTCTTTATCAGCGATTTGGACGACGGGGTGAAAAGCAACCTGTTCAAATTTGCTGATGATACCAAAATTTGGGGTGAGGTGGGCACGCTGGTAGGGAGGGAAAGACTGCAGCAAGACCTGGATAGGTTGCAGGGGTGGGCTAACAGAAACAGGATGCGTTTCAGTACGGACAAGTGCAGGGTGCTGCACTTGGGCAGTAGCAACCAGCAGCACACTTATAAGATGGGAAACTCCCTGCTTGAGAGCATGGAGGCAAAAAGGGATCTTGGAGTCATTATTGACTCCAAGATGAACATGGGCCGACAATGCGAGGTCATGGT